GAAGAATACTCAGGCGGAGAAAGCATCACCAATAGGATGAATGAAATGGAAAACAGAGTATCAAGACTGGAAGATAAAGTAGATGAACTGGACCACTCGAGCAAAGATTATGAAAAATTTAAGAAAACACAAGAATGGACTATGCAGGAATTGTGTGACACCATGAAAAGACCAAACTTACGAATCATAGACATACAGGAAGGAGAACAATCCCAAGATAATGGCATGGGCCAGATCTTCAACAGAATCATGGAAGAAAATTTCCCAAAATTAAAGAAAGACATATCCACACAAATACAAGAAGCTATAGAACGCCAAACAGACAGGACCAGAAAAGAAACTCTCCATGGCACATGATAGTAAAAACACGAATAATACAAAACAAAGAGAAAATACTGAAAGCTGCAAAAGAGAAAAAACAAGTCATATATAAAGGAAAACCCATTAGGATTACAGCCGACTTTTCAGTGCAAACTGTGAAAACCAAAAGAGCCTGGACCAAAGCATTCCCAGTTTTAAATGACCAGAGATGCCACCCCAGATTACTATACCCAGCCAAAATGTCTATTATAGTCGAAGGAGAAAAAAAATCTTCCATGACATAAATAGGCTGAAGGAATTCATGTCCACAAAACCCAGCCCTTCAGAGAGTTTTCGAAGTAATACAAAGAGCTGAAGAGAGGACCTCAAGGGGTTATGGAAAGAAATTCAATGAAGGTATAACTGTGGAAATGCATAGCTACATCAAGAATGTGTATAGAAAAAAATGACAGGATTCAATACTCATCTTTCATTAATAACTTTAAATATTAACAGACTGAACTCCCAGTCAAAAGACAAAGACTAGGTGAGTGGATTAAGAAACAAAACCCATCTTTTTGTTTTCTGCAAGAAACTCATCTCACTTTCAAGGACAAACACTATCTTAAAGTGAAAGGACGGAAAAAAATATACCAAGCAAATGGTACTAAGAAAAACGCAGGCATAGCAATTCTAGTTTCTGACAAAATAGACTTTAAACTAAAACTATTCAGAACAGAAAAAGAGGGCCACTTCATTTTGATCAAAGTAACAATGAATCAAGAAGATATTACAATCATGAACATGTATTCACCAAACTCTGGAGCACCCAACTTCATAAAAACAATACTACAGGACTTTAAGACCCAGATTAACCC